GGGAAAGGGTAATGAAATTTAATAAAAATTTGGTGGTGCAAATTTAAAATTTACTAAAAAGTTAATAGGATACAGGGTGCAACAAATCGAAAAATGTGCGCGCATTTCTCTATGACAGACAGAAAAACAAACATCACATTTCTTTAATTTTGCTTATGCAAACGTTGCCGTTTGATTAAGATTTTTCAAAACAAACGCGTTACTTTAGCAATTTTTTCAAAATAATTTTGCGATCAACAGTTTTTTATTTATTACAAAAAACACATATTTAAAATGAAAAAAAATTAATTGGAGAGACTTTTTTTTAAAAAATGCCAAAACATAATTACTTTTTTCAATTGCGTCACTTTTAAGTAAAATAAAAAAAAGTAATTATGTTTTAGGATGGTTTTTGCATGTGCTCACAAAAATATGATAATTTTACTTTAAATAGATGCTTTTGCAAAAACTTCAAAAGAAACCGTCCTTAAACAATTTGATTGCTTTCTTTTATTGAAGAAAGCGATCGTAATGTTTAAGCTTGTTTTTTTTTCTTAAAAATTAAAACATAAAAAGTTTAAAGTAAATGATTTCATTACTAATAAAATTGTGCATGCTTTTTTTTTTAATCTTCTTATTTTCCATAAACTAAAATAATGTTTGTTTGCATATTAAAAACACTTTTAAAAGTTTTTTTTATTGTGCATTTATCATTAATTTGCGCGCGCTTTGAAAATATGTAAAAAAAGCGTCCGATCTTTATTAGAAATTATAGTTCCATGATAAAAAGATTTGTAATTATTTTTTGATAGCTTTTGTATTCATTTAGCTTTAAACTCTAATCTGAATATTTTTCAACGATTGCTTTTATTAAGTTGCATTAAAGTACTCAGGAAATTTTGTGGTAGTTTAATTGTAATTATGGAATCAATTAAATTAAAAATTGTATTTACATTTGCTTTGTTTTCTTTACGTGCATTTTTTAAATGCGCTAATTATCAAAACTTGAAAAGAGTCGTGGTCAAGTTGTTAAAACAAAGAACTATATGTGTGGTCATATAAAGCGTTTGATCGCACGCCTCTTACGAGAAGACCTGCTTAGTGTTGATGGTTATCTTCCTTTAATTCGTAAAGACTCCAATAGTTACTTGCTTGGCCTAGGCATTTACATTCGTAAGAATTCACCCATTTGTCGGGAAACTAGGTTTGAATCCACAGACTACTCTTTTATGTGCTTTCCTTTAGCACCACTTCACTCTATCACCTTTCTCTTTGTCCTATATCGCTCTCCTTTATCTCAAGACTGCACTCTTCTTGATGTTATTTCTGATTATATTGACCAAGCCCTCATTTTTTATCCATCAGCCAATATTGTTGTTGTCGGTGACTTTAATGTTCATCACACTGAACGGCTTGGCTCTAGTGTCAGTGACTCCACAGGCATTAAAGCCCACAACTTTTGCCTTTCTCAATCTTTAACTCAAATAGTCAACTTTCCAACTCGATTTCCAGACAACCCGAATCATTTACCTTCTCTACTCGAAATATGTCTTGTTTCTAATCCTAGTCAGTGCTCAGTTTCTCCATACTCACCCTAAGGTGCTTTTGATCATGGTTTGGTCTCTTTAAAACTATTATCTCATTCTTCTTTACCATCAGAATCCCCCTATCATTGTACATCTTACAACTACCATAAAGCTGACTGGGACTCTTTCCGTGATTTTCTTGGTGGTGGCCCCTGGGTAGAAATCTTTTGTCTTCCTGTTGACAAATGTGCTTCTTACATAACTTCGCATTCATTCATTCATAACTCGCGCATTAGATAAAGGTGGAGAGGTTAAGGCCATCGCTCTTGACATTTCTAAAGCGTTTGATAAAGTTTGGCATGCTGGTCTTCTTCATAAGCTTTCTTCTTACAGTGTATCTGGAAACATCTTTAAGATTATTGAATCCTTTATTTCCATTCGTAGTATAAAAGTTTTCCTTGATAGACAGCACTCTTCTTCCTATTCTGTAATTTCAGGGGTTCCTCAAGGTTCAATCCTTGGCCCTATACTCTTTTTAATTTACATTAACAATCTTCCAGATATTCTCACAACTAAGGTGGCATTGTTTGCTGATGATACTACCATTTATTCTTCTCACGATAAGAAGCCAACTCCCTCTGATTGCTTGCAGGGAGCATCTGAGCTTGAAAAGAATCTCACTTCTGCTACAGCATGGGGCTCGCAGTGGCTGGTGAACTTTAATTCAGATAAAACTCAATTTTTTTCAGCCAATCGTTATCGCAATAATTTAGACCTTCCTATATTTATTATATAGACCTTCCTACATCTTCTAGGATTAATTCTTACTTCTGATCTTTCTTGGAAACCTTATATCAAATCCGTTGCAAAATTAGCATCTGCTAAAATTGCTTCTCTTTATCGAGCTTGTCACTTTCTTACTCTGGATTCTATTCTCTATCTCTATAAATCTCAAATCCGGCCTTGTATGGAATACTGTTGCCATATCTGGGGCGGATCTTCTAATGATGCCCTTTCTCTTTTAGACAAGGTGCAAAAACGTATTGTAAACATAGTTTGACCTGCTTTTGCAGCCAACCTTCAACCTCTGTCACATCGTTGTTGCTTCTCTTTCTCTTTTCTACAAATACTATAATGGGCACTGCTCCAAAGAGCTAGCGTCTCTTGTGCCATCTACTAAAATTCATTCTTGTGTTACTTGTCATTCAACTAAGTCTCATCCTTTTTCTGTTACTGTTCCTAAGTGCTCCAAAAACTCTTATTCGTCTAGTTTTTTTCCTTGAATATCAGTTCTTTGGAATTCACTTCCTTTATCTTGCTTTCCTGATTCATATAATTTGCAATCCTCTAAGTCGTTTGTCAATCGTTATCTTACTCTACAATCTTCATCTTTTCTCTTCCAGTAACTTCCAACACTAATTATTGGTTGCTTGCAGTCTTGTTGGAAGCGAAGATGTTAAAAAAAATAATAATAATAATTTACAGAGCTTGAATTAAGTGATCGCAAATTGCGATATCTGGAAATGTTTCCGGTCTTTAAAATTTTAGCTTTTTAAAAACTGTTTATCACTAAACTCAATAGATATCATTTAATAAAAAATATTTACGTCGATTATGATATAAAATCTTAATGTAAAACCATATTATCACTATTATTTTAATTATTATTAAATATTATAATTTAAACTTTAATATTTTAATTTATATTATAAAACATCAGATAAAACTAGAAAAATAAAGCACAGTAAAGTACGATATAAATATTAAAAAATAAGCACTAATCACAACAATCTAAAGCACTTTAACAATGATTGAATATTTTAAATAAAAGAAACTGTTAATGTAGATATAAAATACTTTTATATGTTATTTAAGTCTCATTTAATATTTTCTTATAAATTTAATGCTTGTAACACTTTAGCTGATACAAATATAAAAGACAGAGGAGTTAACATATAAAAACTTATTTAAACTTTTTAATAGTTACTTTAAAACAAAAAAAAAGAAACTAATAACATATTTTAAAAAAATATACTTTATAATTTTTTTTCTTATTAAATAATTATATTCAAATTTAAAACACTTAAATTTTTAAATAATTAATTCCATAAACTTTCCCCCTAAATAAAAATCTATTTTAATGTTTTATATAATGCGCAAGTAGCTTTAGCATACTTTTTAATTGTTAATTTAGTTAATTTTTAAATTACCGCGAAAGTTTTTTGGACCTTTAGTAATAATAATTTTTGTCTTGCAACTTTTTTTTATTTAAAATCCTTAAATTGCATATTATTATTGTTTAAAAAAACAATAACTAATAATATGTAAATTTTGACTGTTATTATTTTTGCAGTAGTAAATTTATTGTTTTGCTTTTTTATTAACTTTTGCAATATGATAAACTGACTGTTTCAATAAAACAGTGTTTAAGGTTTTTTAAAAAATTAAGAATTTTAATGACCACAGATATTTGCAGATATTGCAATTCGCGATCACTTAATTCAAGCCCTGTCTTATTACTAACAGAAACTGCAATAAAGAAGTTGAGTAAAAATTCTGCAACTTTTTTGACTGCTGAAGGTGTTTATAAATTTATATTTGAAAGCTTAAACCAGTTACAAACAAATATAAGAAAAATTTATTTAAACAGATAAAAAAGCAAAAGGATGAACATCATGATAAAATCCTCATGACATTAATAATCTTCTTAGAATCAGGCAATATACACACATTCTACTAAATATTTTAAATATACTTCAAAATCTGCTGCCATTGCTTTAGCAGTAGAAATATTTGAAAGGATTCATACATCTAGTGGTGACAGAAGCAGTACTGAGCACAATGAGGTCGAGGAAGTTGTAAAAAAAATAGCAAGTGAAGGTATGCTCAAAAGTCAAAATGCTAATTTTATGCAGCAAAAGCTGAAAGCTGCGATTTCTCCCATTACCAATGCAGAAAAACAGAGCAGCATAATTAATATATTGTTGAAAAATGATTTTATGTTTTTAACAATCACTAAAATAAGAACAAATAAATATATTGTTTAACACACTTCTAACAATATAACCAACATCTACTGCAACAGAGCGTATTTTTTCAATTGCAGATTTGACTCAGACAAAAATTAGAACTCACTTAAATTTTGAAACTCTTAATGTAATTATTTTTTTGAAATGAATTTTTAAAAATAAAATAAATTTAAATAGTATAATTGTTTAATTTTTTTATATTTAAATTTTCAATGTATATAACTAAAATATTGAAGTTAAAATTACTTATTGCATTAAAAACACCATGAAAGTATTAAGTTCAATCTATAATCTTTATTTTCTTTTTCGTTATCTAGATATATCTGAATAATTTGAATTTTCAGTATTTGATATCTGTATAGTCATTAATGTTGGATAATTAGAAACCCTAATAACTGTTAATAAATGTTTACTAAAAAACAAAACCAAAAATGTAAAAAATCTTTAAATACCAAAAATATGTTACCTTTCCCTAAATCCATCCAAGAGCTCATCTTGTTCTTCTATAGATACTTCTAAGTCCAAATAATTACCATTATGGGATAGTTGAAGAACACAATCCTCAATCTATAATACAGTACTTGGAAATAATAAAAAACAATATAATATATAATAAAATTAGAGCTGTTAATGGTAGGGTCTAGACCCAGACCTGACCTATAATAATGAAACCTAGATTCAGTTCAAACGAATTGGGTCTGGATGTAGACCCATAAACAGCCATAAATAAAATAACAAAAATGAAAAATACATTTGTAGCCATTTTTTAAAATAAATTTTATCAGCTAACTAACTAAATGTGCAACACATCACAAGTTTATTTCATTATTTAATTGCAAAGTCATCACAAGTTTATTTCATTATTTAATTACAAAGATCACTATTATCTCTAATGTTTCTACAAATTCTAGAAATCCAATTTAGAAATTAAATCTTATGCTTACTTTTATTCTCAGGATTAATAGAAAAGTTGCAAAAAATCCAAGTTAATTAAAACTAATTAAAAAAAGAATAAGAACAGGAGTTAATTTCATTTGTTATGACAAAAAAAAATTATTTTAATACATATTATGAAAAGGAAGATGCCTGTGATCTAGACTTTATACTAGAAAATCCTAATGGATAAAGAATTTAATTACATAATGGAACATTATCAACATCCTACTTTATTCCTAACCACGCAAATTATATTTAGTTGAGACAACTTGACACGACTTTTTAGATGTTTTGAGAAATTTATGTTTCCATGCATGTCCAAAACTTTTTGACACGCTAAAACAATTAAATTTGTAAATAATCTTTTGTAACCAAAGGTTTTAATATTAGTAAAGTGCTTTTTAAACTTTTTTTAAAAAGTGATGATTTACTTTTATTGATTGTTTATAAAAAGAAAACTTTTAACTTTATTTTAATTTATATAAAGTTAAATAAGTTTTATTAAGAATTTAATAACTAATTATTTGAATAATATAGATTTTTCATTCTTTAAATGTAAATCTTTTAAAAATGTTTGTACAATTGATTTTATAAAAAAGAGAAGTTTAGAAATAATTTATTCTGAACATAATTTATTTTGTTTTAGTGAAGTTTTTTTTTTTTTCGTTAAGAATTCCTTTCTTTTTTAAGTTAATTTTTTATAGGATTTGTATCCTGTCAAGTTAAGATTTTTTTGTGCTTTTGAAACGTTCTCAAAACATCTAAAAAGCCATGGCCATATTATCGCAACTAAATATTATATGAGTAGTCAGATATAGAGTGCAATCGCACCCTTTTCCCGACCAAGCCAGACTAGTTAACTTAAGTCTAAACTTTTATGCACAACTAATTGTGCATTAAATAAAAAAACAGCCAAATATGTAATAGATAATGAAAATAAAATGAAAAAATTAGAGACAAAAAAAACATATCAAATTCTTTTAAAATATATATGTTCTGCACATTATTTAAATCTTTTAGAAAAGGAAGTAACACACCCAGATGTCATCAAACATGTGGTTAAATGCAGAAATATCTTAGTAATACACATCAACCACTGTAAATTTAATATTTTATTTGTGGCTTATCAACTTTAAGTATAAAAAGTGTATAAAAGTTTAGGATTAACTATAAAATTTTTCTTTTAAGGGTTGTGTGTGAAAGGAAAGCATAAACCTCAATCAAATGATATTCACTGGAACTCCAAAATTGATAAAATGGTATATAAACATACATAAAATAATATAGATAACCATATATACCTATCAAAATCAAAAAAATTGTTTTAAATTGACCAATAAGAACCAATCAAACTTAAATCAAAATACTTGATAATGTTTTAGATTAAGTATTTAATGTTTTTCAATTAAAGTTTTTATTACAAAGTAAGACTTTAGGTGTAAAGGAAAAATAATAAAAATAAAATTATTATGTTGATTAAATAAACAAAAAATAAAATTATTTCTAGATGCAAAGAGACAGCTGTCATTATCGAAATGTGTTGAGTTTGCTCTAACTTCTAAACAACTCTGAACTAAGTCCTTAACACATATCTATTAAGAAGAGATTTAAGTATTGATGTTATGATGCCTATTCTTTTTATGTGAACAATCTTCCTTTTGGGGTAAAATTTAGATTTAAATTAAAAATTAAAAAAAATCAATTTTCACAGATATATGCTAATCAGAAATTTTTTTTTTTTCATATTTAAAATCCTGACAATTCAAAAAAAAAAAGAAGATGTAGCAGAAGGACAATCTTTATCCTGATTTTGTACCAGGACTGTATTTACTGAAACTAAAGGATTGTGATGCCTCTTCTACAAGGATATTGAGCGGTCAAATTATATTATATCAGTGATTGGAGGTTAATTAAATAAGTTAGTTAATATTAACAATATGTAAATATATATATATATATATGTATATATATATATATATATATATATATATATATATATATATATATATATATATATATATATATATATA